TGTGTGTTTTTGTTCGTTTTTTTTTTTTTTTTTTTTTTTTTTTTTTAAATAACTGTTTCATCAGAAAGCAATTACATTAATATGTGTTATCAAGCATAAACGAATGGAAAATATTTTATGTACACAACTTTGCAGCAAGACCATCAATAACAATTGAGTGAAGTCTTTTGAATGTTTATTATTGTATATATAATATTGTGGCATGTGCTGAGACAGAACATATAAGTCATATCAATTTCAATTACATCAATACAGTTATGTGGACTGGAATAATTCACTAGAGTTGAGATAGAACAGAGCGGTCTGAACAAATTGATATACATCAAACGTATGATATAAAACATTGCTTTAAGCAAGCCATCAATTTCCTTGTCTGTCCTTGTTACATTAGTAATATCAATCGGAACGATGGGAGCAACTCTGTAAATCTCCTGTATAATAGATACAAATAACCCCGTAACAGAAAACATATTTGTCAATAGTTATAATGTAACATGACCACTGAATACATAATACCATATCATAGTTTCTCAAAATAATGGGGAAAAAACGGTCAACATGGAAGAACGGCGTTCAATGAAAATTGTCCCAAAACAAAAACAAGCAATACAAGACCACCGATAGGAAGCCCAGCACGGCGGCAAATACAAATAGAAGATGGCACAAAAGCAAGAAATATTGACGCCAGTTTCTAAAATAAAACAGTTGTATCGTAAGTGAAGAATTCTTTTTACCATGACGTCACTGGATGACGTTGAAGTGTTTGTCGCTTTTTGAGGTTTTCAACGAAAACGAAACAAAATCGAAATAAGCGCGAACAATGGTTACGAAGTAGTAAATACTCATTTGTTAGAAACAGACAATAAATATATAATTATAAATAAATTTGGCATATAAAATACTCCTTTGTATGAAAGAGACACTAAATATATAAATTATAAATAAATTTGGCATATGAAACCTGAGATTATACACGGATAATGAAACAGTAATAACAAAAAGTTAAAACAAGCATATGATTTATTATATGTGCTGATGTATAAAATATGTATCTGCCTTTGATCAAGATCAGCTTTCCCTTTTTATATGCCATTCTCTTTTTATTTTTAGATTAAGTAAACACTAAACGTTAAGGCAAAACCAAATGATAATATTTGTGACTACGAACTGTTTAATACAAATAAACGGTTTCTATATGGCAATGTAGCTCCTTCAAATTAAGTTTATTCTGTCACAATGTGCGTCCTGTCAAATAGTTCTATTTTTAGGAAAACAACAATGACTGAAATGCCATAAACGGGTTTATATCATAATTTTCACGATATTACTGGTGTATTGATAGTTTGTCTTTCAGTGTAAGACGAATTTAATTAACATCGTCCCTTAAATAGCGGTCAATATGCGGTCAAGAGTCATATGAGTGGCCGAAATAATGAGTGTGCTTCCATCAATATAGTATATATCCATATTAATCATCAAAATGCCAATACCTGCCGGCTTGTTCTGATAGCTCTTGTTCTGTTAGGGATGTTTTATTGTATCAGCAGTATTTTTCTTCTCATTCAAAATTGTTCAACTGGTATGAAGTAAGAAAAATAAACACTGTATTTTGACATAATATTCGTGCAAGTTTATTAAGCCTTATATAAATTGTTTAAGAATGATAATTAAGGTGGGTTTAAGATGTTTGTCATATTTTAACAAAAATAGTTTCTAAATATGCCAATTCAAGATAAACCATTTACATTGACCCGTGCTCGCTGAGAGATCTGGACAGCTTTATAATAGATATAAAATGCTGTAAAACAAAGTGGTTCCTTCAGACCTGTACATGTTGATTGAGTATGTCATTACTTATATATTGTACAGACAATAACTCGTAACCAATGACACTCAATGTCATATTTGAAATATTGTCTATTGAGTAATTACGATGATTGCCTCTTATGTTGGAAGCTTAAAGCCATTTTCTTTACTTTAATTACATGGTTTCATATAAACTTTACATATGCAATCATACATAATGCATAGATTTAGGCGTTCTGATTACACAAAATTTGTTGTAATAAAATAAATTCTTTGCTCCAATAGTTCTGCCATTTTCACAAAGAAAGATAAGATTCAGGATCAATGATCCTGATTTATTTCATTGTTTATTACTAAATTGCTAATTCTAGAAAATAGTAAATTTTCAAAAGAAAATAAAGCTGATTTCAAGAATAACTTTTTGAGATAAATTAACAATAATAAAAAATTCGATAAAATAGATAAATTTTGGATCAGATAATATTGATCACTGTAAAATCCCGTACAATGTAAAATAGCATACATTTACTTTAAGATTTCATTAATTTGCTAGTGCAAGTCAAGTTTTATCAAATTAACATTAGATATTTAATATATGAGGATAAAAAATGAAGACTATTAGAGTTTTTAAATTTGATCCTGATCTTGATCCTGATCCTTAAATCTTTGTGAACTATTTACTTTAAGATTTCATTAATTTGCTAGTGCAAGTCAAGTTTTATCAAATTAACATTAGATATTTAATATATGAGGATAAAAAATGAAGAATATTAGAGTTTTTAAATTTGATCCTGATCTTGATCCTGATCCTTAAATCTTTGTAAACTATTTAGGAGCAATGAAACATTTATTCTAATCACTAAATGTGCTTGATCTTAGTTCTTAAAAGTGATGCAAGAATAAGACCAAAACGCGTTGCAATATTGCTGCAATCTAGGTTACACAGAGTTTTAAACAAAAAGTCATGACATGCAAAGTGCACATTAATTTTATGTTGTGATTGCTTTAAAGCTCTTTATATCATGCACTTAGAACACGTTATCAGCGAGACATTGTTAATTACCTGATAAATATTATTCAACATTGTTAGGAATTTACAAAAATAACACTTATCAAGCAGTAGATATTGATTTGTATTTTATTCATTTTAAAACAAAATACGATTTCTCCATTCTTTAGTTGTGAATAGAACACGGGGATTGACAAAAAGCTTTTATATTTGCGCAGAACATAACACATGCCTCATAAATTCTGTCATATCTAAACTTAAAATGCAATTCTTTCATGTAGCATTTAAGGACATCTTAAACAAGACAATATCGAATTATTTTCGACTGTGAGGTTTCTACTTATCAATTGGTTACCTAGTTGACATCACAGTGGAAATAGTAAGATGTCAGACATTTTCTATCAAGTAGACCGCTGGGGAGAAATGAGATTGTTTCTTCACATGCAAAGATGACTTTTTCAACTAATAATGTTATTTTTTTTCTTTTTGCAAAACAGTCAGACATAAAACATGAAAAAGGTCATATATGAAATTGGGCAATATCCTGAAAATTATATAAAGTATACATTCGCTTCTTGAAGCGAGAGAAGTGACCAAATGTTTAATAGAAGGGTACTGGTCTCCATGTAAATGTATCGATCACATTCTTGTAGATGTTATGCTTAAAACTAAGTAATAACACGCGAACACTCTAAACATTTGAAGTATAAAATAGCTTCTTGATAAAAGCTAAAACGACAACTATAAATATAAATGTTTAATATCGTTAACATATGATATTTTCTAGCTTAACATACTTTCAAAAGGAATTGATATTAGGAGATGAGAGTATATGCCTGGTACAAGATGGATGGTGACTTTCCTCGTGGGGATTCAATAACTCTATCTTACCATTAACATTTCAAAACTCGTGTGCGCTAGGCAACCAATTATAACTTATGTATGCAAAATTTATATGCTAGTCATGATTCAACGCACATTTTCGCTTGAAATGATCACTTTTAATGTTTTTACGAAGCAAAACATTTTTTGATTACTTTGAGAGTGGGCTAATAGATAAAATAAATTTCTAATGGAAACAACAAATGATTAATGAAAAATGATGACTGTATTCAATTAATAAATCAGGAAAGAGAACATTATTTAAATCTAAACTCTATTATCTCATTAAAATGTGTGCTAAAGTTTGGTTCAGTTGGATTGCTTCAGTTCAATTAAAGAACATAGTATAATGATCATATACATTTAATTGCGATGTATTCTACACTACATATTATCATATAACGCTTCTTCCTCCACTCCACACATATCTAATAAACAAAAATCATATCATTCGAAATTCTACCAGCAATCAAATGGTGCACTTAAAAAAGAAAACCAAGCAACTGATAATATAAATAAATATAAATAATAGTATTGATAAAAAATTTTAAAGGGATTTTTGGGCTGATATGACTGAAAAGCGTGTCAGTGAAAAGCGTTGCAACGCTTTTCATTTTGAGATAATTTGCATATCTCTAGTAAACAGTGTGAGAAAATGACCTACATCCAGTTACACAAAAAATCCTGTAAAAATATTTTCGTTTTTTTTTGTGCCAACAACCACAACGAGTCCCTTTAATTCATTTTCAGCTATGTAAGACAGTTGTAATCACTTTTTAATCACTATTTAAAATGTACTTTTTGAATTCTAGGAATTCTAGTCGCAGCAAAATATTAAAAATTATTAGATGTTTCTTGTTTTAACGAATTAAAGTAATATGCTGATACAAACGTTTATGGATTAAATAGTTATTTAACAATTCAATTATAAAAGGAAATACAATACCGAAATACTGCCAGAAGTTATTCTAATAGCAGTAACTTCGGTGCTAAATTTAATGTTTACAACACCAATTCGTCTACCTTTTCTCGTTCAAATATAATCAATTGTTCGCTTCTCTGTAAGTTTTTTCTTCTTTTTCTAAGCTGTTCTAGTCATGTTTTGTTCAAAAATAAAAATGTATTTGATTTCCGTTCACAGATATTTTAATATACATAAATGTTAATGAATCAATGTCAAGTCTGTTAGATGTCATTAATTGTATTGCCCCTGTGACCTGTTTAGAATAATACCCGGGTGATGAAAATATTCTGTGAAATCTATAATTAGAAAACTATATAGAACATACAAACATAAAATTACCTGTTATGAAGACTTCGTATAATTGATTTCAATAATAACTTGAAGAGTTGTTTGATTGCCTAAGAGGTAGCCTGCAATACGTCTTATCTGCAATAAAAATAAAATAAACATTATTTGATGGATCTTAAATTCGCATGCCTCCAGATGAGCCAAAATATTTCAAGAATATCAAACATGAGAAAAATGAACAAAGATTTTAAATTAACTAAGATTTTAAGATTTTAGGACAAGTAAAATGATTCAAGAATCATGTAATAGTTAGCATGTTATGTGCGAGCATTGCCGAATTTTGCAGTATTAATCACCATATGAGCCGCGTCACGACAAAACCAACATAGTGCGTTTGCGACCAGCATGGATCCAGACCAGCCTGCGCATCCGCGCAGTCTGATCAGGATCCATGCTGTTCGCTATCAGTTTCTCTACTTGTAATAGGTTTGGTAAGCGAACAGCATGGATCCTGATCAGACTGCGCGGATGCGCAGGCTGGTCTGGATCCATGCTGGTCGCAAACGCACTTTGTTGGTTTTGTCGTGACGCGGCTCATATTTCTACTGCGTTACTAATGCACTTATGCAGTAAGGGCTATGTTTGCATATTTTTACATAATTTTCATAATTTATGTGTATTTAAGTCCAGTTTATAATGTGTAAATCACTTTCATTGTTCACTGCACAATATGTCTTTAAAATACATTTTCAAATTTTTTATGAAATAAGCACATGCTGATAGAACCATTTCATAGAGAGTATTTCTTCTTAGGAGGTCCTTATTTTAATGCATACCTTGTAATAAACACAGAAAAGCAATGTTAGATTTTACTATGTGCTTGGGTGAACTGACGACCAAAAGGAGATAATATATTTGTATTCCATTATATTTAGTATGTAGCGAAAGAATGCAAGAATATAAAGGCATAATATGCCTACCACTATCTAGTTCTCCATGCATCGAACAAATCAGAAGCGTTCCAAATTATATACATGCTTCAAAGTTACAATATCCTTGTTTGATGAAATATTTTCTGTCACTTGTCAAATATAACTAGTTATATACCAGTACCAAATAAACACAAAAGAACATTTAAGCCATTTTTACTGACATTTATATATTTTCAGACACTAATTAAATTGCAATTATCAAAATGACGCTTAACAGGAGCGCATTAAATTCAATTGTTTCAGATCAGTCAAAAAGTAGACTGGGAAACACTGCCTACAGCATCTGATAGAAGCACTCTGTTATGTTTGTAATACAAATATTGGAATACTAGAAACACCAATAGTTATATATTTACTAACCAATAGCATTTTATGCGATACCAACCGTTGATAAAGTATAATAAAACATTATAACATACAGTATAAATAAATTATGTTTTACCGTCCCGATTAGAATTTGCTTGGTAAATGATTTTCGTTAATTAATCAAAATTCAGATATGCATAGATTAAACGGCGAACATCATAGTAAACAAATGCCTTGATTATTAACTTTTAACAAAAGAAATACTTTCACAGCAGCATGATATTATAAGAATAAATTAAGATTATTTTTCTGATTGATTATCAACACTTCTAGATCACTTTTATGTTTGAACATTTGTATAGGTTACAGTGTTGTTTCCATTTTACTTCTTAAAACTTATTAAAATACTTAAAATTAGTATAATAGCGATACCGATTAATTTGCAGTATGGATAAGTATCTTTGACGTTTTTTATTGAATCTTTTTGTTTGACATTTGTTTTAAATTGTTGAAATATTAGTTACAATTGCAAGCTGACAAATGATTGTAGCGTTTCTACACGCGATGGTAGTTTAAGCTGGCATTTATATACAAACGTAGTATGTTGTATTTAAAACTACTTCTGAACTCGAAAACTTTTTACAAACATTTACAATTATAACAAAATAAAAGAAATATATATATTATAGAAAATATTTCATTGCCAGGTCAAATCACTCAAGTGAATTGTAACCGTTTGATAAATGCTTATAGATTGATATTTTGTTGAAATTCAGATTTCCGATCTGCCTTATAAATGTACCTAAGTACCACGATCATTTCTAATTGATTGAACAGGGGATAACCGTATCAAGAAGTAGCTATGTAAAGACCTTTTTTGTTTTGATTGTGTTGTTAGTAACGACGACAATGTAAATGTTATGCGGTTTCTTGTCAGATTTACTGGTGGTTGAAAACTTCAGGTGAGCTACGAACATTATGCCAATCATAAGTGGGCACACCCACGCTTGATATAAGTATTGTTGTTGTATTATACTTTGTATCAGTCTCTAAATACACCCACACAAATTTGACTTGGTATTGTATACTTGGAAATAAAACAATTAAATATAAAACTGTTAAAGAACAGAATTAATCTACTTAACTGATTTAACCTTCAAGTTGGCTGACTGCCTACACACTTTGATCACTAGAGCACTCAAATGATTGGAACCCCAATAGAGAAATTACAAGCACTAATAGTGCTAAAACTTAAATTATTAAAGGTTGTCTACTGATTATAATCTAGGATAACATTTATGCGAGTTATTTCAGTCCTTTAGGATTATAAAATTATATGTTACTAAAATTCAGATATGTGGTGAAACAGTCACACATCAAAAATGCCATTACATACGGATACACTACACTGAAATCTGAAAATGTTCCAATTTTATTTGTTTCAAAATAATCTGAAATGTTGATTATATAATTCTGTATAAATATATTGTCGTATTATTGTACAACCTTATCTTAATTATAACCATAAATGAAGATAACTTTTATTTTAAATAATAATTTATGCATTTTTTAAGTACTTATTAAAAGTTTCCTCTAATTGAAATGAAACTCAGTTTTATCACATAAATTGGAAGTTATGCAAGAAATGAAGCATTATTATAAACTAATTTAAAGTATGTGTAAGTTTTAAATGCAAGATAAAAAATAACTTTTAAATTGTAGAAATGTAGTTATGGATTCAACTGACGTTTGTGTATTATTTATACATGTATATTAAAATCGGAAAAATTCCGTCTGGTAAACAAGCTGAGTAAATAATAATGTCAAAGGGTAAAACGTACGGAAGCAGTCGTGTAGCGGTTAGTAGTCGAGGGACTATCTTAACTAATGACCAAGCATCCATCATCACAATCTATATGTTAATTATTCATTATTCAGCCAATTTATACGTCGCCAGTTTATAGCCTATTTTCTGATTAACCGTGATGCTAGTTTTACATATTATTTATATCTGCTAAATGTATAATAATTTATAAAACAATCTGTGAAATACCTTACAAATGAAACAAAATCTTGAGATATATCACAATTTAATGATCACGTGATTTGTTTAGGAAAATACTTTATCCACATGCCTGATTGCTGAGTTAAGGTAAAAGTGATTCCACTCATCCGAGATAATATCATATAATATAATAAACATACTTAAAATGTTTAATGTTAAGTTATTTTAGAAACTGGTATATTTTGAGCGTCTTTGAACTTTTCCATGTAAAAACACTTAAGTGTGGTATTTAAATCATTTCTCAATATTTTCATTAAATCTATTTTTTTAGAGAAAGCAAGATATAATAGGAATAAAATATGTAGCATTTTGTATTACTGAATTAAAGTGCCAGTTTTGAACATACATTCACATTATTATATACATTAGGTTCTAATGGAAAAGGTGTAAAAAGTTGTTATACAATATTTTAAGATAAATATCAAAGGCCAATTATGACTAAGAACCGTTTTTAATTCTATTTCCTAAAAGCCTTTTATTATTTTGTGTCCTGATATTTTCCTATAAGTTAATTATTGACCAATTTTCTGAACTATTTTTTGCTTCTTTTGCTTTTTAGCAATTACCACATTTATAGTGGTTTAGTATTTTGTATGGAAGTCAGCATACAACTTGCTATTATATTTATGATAATTAATTTCTGATTTCACGCTCCTTTCTTCAGGTAAGAAGTATGTAACATGCACTTAAAACCATTATTCAACAATATAAAGCTCCTAAATGACTGTTTTTAAAGAAAGAAACGTTTACTGTTTCTAAGGCATAATCTACTGTCAAGGCCTTTTTTAGTAAGTAATATTATTCATAAAGTGATTGACGTGCCGATTAAACATTTGAAAGCTTGCGTAAACTTAAATAAGTTAAACCAATGATAAGCATGCACCTTGTGTCGACGTTTATGTCATGTTCATATGATTGACCAACCCTTTCATGTTGTATGTAACCTCTATGTATTTTTTTTCCTGTTTTAACAGCGATCGAGCGTTAATGTTCTCTATCTCTTTTGTTGAGACATAAATTAATTGTAACTGTAAACACGGTTTTGATTAATGATTTTATGACCATTTCATTGTTCTTGTTGTGTTAGGAACAGCTACAAAAATCGATGTTAAAGTACAAAATGAATTTTGAAGTTTTGCGTTTTGTTGAGTATTCCGAAAGTGGAAATCTTATTCCTGTTGTTGAATGAATGATACAACATCGTCATGATTCATATTAAGTACACGTCAATATAGATTATAGTAGTAATTTTCAAAAAAGGCATTCCATTCCAACAAAAATGCTTTGTTTTTGTGCATTTTAAGTTTACTTTTTACAGAGGTTGTTGCCTTGATAGAAAACACTTACAATAGTCATAATTCATTATATTTATCTATATTAAGATAAGGCCATCCATCATTTATAAATAATATTAATCTTGCAATGACGTGCAAAATATCAAAGGATAATAAGTGACACAAATTCTAAAGGAAACTAAATATTACAATTCAATGACTTGTTATAACACGTGTAACAGATTTTAATTTGAAATGATTTTTTTTATTTCAGTTGTCAATAAATGAAACGCTAAATATACCTTTCATAACGTGTTTAAATATAGATACCATTCGATTGTTTTACATTATTTTATCTAACATCCCACAACTTTCTAAGAGAAGGAAATAATGTAGAAAACCTCGGTAAAATGAATTAAATTTACTTTAATCTCACGACAAGGTAGTATATATAATTGTGAGATACAAAATATCTTGTTTAATTCTGCCTAGAGTACAATT